CAGGACTAATCACATAAACACGAGACAGGTGAGGAGGGAGGAGAAAACACAGAGGCACCAGGTGAACACAATCGGGTAATCAGGGAGGGAAACAGACAGAAAGCAAACAGGCAGGAAACGGGGGTGAACACTTTACAAAATAAAACAGGAAACCCAAAGATAGAAAAAGACAAGAAAAACACCAACACAGACAGATCCTAACAGTACCCACCCCCCCTCAAGGGACGGATCCCAGACGTCCCAAAACAAAAAAAAGTCCAAAACCTCAAGCAGGGTGGATGGAGGGGGTCAGGAGGACGGGACTGAACTGACCGCCCAGGGGCACGGCAGAGGACCAGGAAGGGGTCTCGGGCGGACGGCCCGGGGGCAAGGCAGAGTCCAAAAAGGGGAAGTCGGGCGGACGGCCCGGGGGCAAGGCAGAGGACCAGGAAGGGGTCTCGGGCGGACGGCCCGGGGGCAAGGCAGAGTCCAAAAAGGGGGACTCGGGCGGACGGCCCGGGGGCAAGACAGAGTCCAAGGTGGGGACCATGGAGGGGCGAAGGCAGCGGCAGGAAGAGTCAGGGGGCCGGGCCCGAGGGCGAAGGCAACGGCAGGAAGAGTCAGGGGCCCGAGGGCGAGGACCGTGGCACTCAGGGTGCCGGGCTCGAGGGCGAAGACCGCGGCGCTCAGGGGGCCGGGCTCGAGGGTGAAGACCGCGGCTCGAGGGGGGCCGGGCTCGAGGGCGAAGACCAGACAGCTCCGGAGGCCGGGCAGGAAGGCGCTGACGGGACAGTGCCGGAGGCCGGGCAGGACCCGGTGTCGGAGCTGGTGGGACAGGCCTCGGCAGGATCCCCCACGGAAGAGGACCATGACACGGGATTTGCAGGATCCCCGGCAGGAGAGCAGTCGGTGGGGCCTCCAACGGCACAGGACATATGATTGGCAGGACCCCCGGCAGGAGAGTAGTCGGCGGGACCTCCAACAGCACAGGACAAAGGGTTGGCAGGACCCCCGGCAGGAGAATAGACGGCGGGACCTCCAACGAGACAGGACAAAGAGTTGGCAGGACCCCCGGCAGGAGAGTAGTCGGCGGGGCCTCCAACAGCACAGGACAAAGGGTTGGCAGGACCCCCGGCAGGAGAGTAGTCGGTGGGACCACCAACGAGACAGGACAAGGAGCTGGCAGGACCCCCGGCAGGAGAGTAGACGGCGGGACCGCCAAGGGGACAGGACAAAGGGTTGGCAGGACCCCCGGCAGGAGAGTAGTCGGTGGGGCCTCCAACGGCACAGGACAAAGGGTTGGCAGGACCCCCGGCAGGAGAGTAGTCGGCGGGACCTCCAACGAGACAGGACAAGGAGCTGGCAGGACCCCCGGCAGGAGAGTAGACGACGGGACCTCCAAGGGGACAGGACAAAGGGTTGGCAGGACCCCCGGCCGGAGAGTAGTCGGCGGGGCCTCCAACGGCACAGGACAAAGGGTTGGCAGGACCCCCGGCAGGAGAGTAGACGGCGGGACCTCCAACGGCACAGGACAAAGGGTTGGCAGGACCCACGGCAGGAGAGTAGTCGGTGGGACCTCCAACGAGACAGGACAAGGAGCTGGCAGGACCCCCGGCAGGAGAGTAGTCGGTGGGACCTCCAACGAGACAGGACAAGGAGCTGGCAGGACCCCCGGCAGGAGAGTAGACGGCGGGACCTCCAACGAGACAGGACAAAGGGTTGGCAGGACCCCCGGCAGGAGAGTAGTCGGCGGGGCCTCCAACAGCACAGGACAAAGGGTTGGCAGGACCCCCGGCAGGAGAGTAGTCGGTGGGACCTCCAACGAGACAGGACAAGGAGCTGGCAGGACCCCCGGCAGGAGAGTAGACGGCGGGACCTCCAAGGGGACAGGACAAAGGGTTGGCAGGACCCCCGGCAGGAGAGTAGACGGCGGGGCCACCAACGGCACAGGACAAAGGGTTGGCAGGACCCCCGGCAGGAGAGTAGTCGGCGGGACCTCCAACGAGACAGGACAAGGAGCTGGCAGGACCCCCGGCAGGAGAGTAGATGGCGGGACCTCCAAGGGGACAAAGGGTTGGCAGGACCCCCGGCAGGAGAGTAGTCGGCGGGGCCTCCAACGGCACAGGACAAAGGGTTGGCAGGACCCCCGGCAGGAGAGTAGACGGCGGGACCTCCAACGAGACAGGATAAAGGGTTGGCAGGACCCCCGGCAGGAGAGTAGACGGCGGGCCCTCCAACGGGACAGGACAAAGGGTTGGCAGGACCCCCGGCAGGAGAGTAGTCGGCGGGGCCTCCAACGGCACAGGACAAAGGGTTGGCAGGACCCCCGGCAGGAGAGTAGACGGCGGGACCTCCAACGAGACAGGATAAAGGGTTGGCAGGACCCCCGGCAGGAGAGTAGACGGCGGGCCCTCCAACGGGACAGGACAAAGGGTTGGCAGGACCCCCGGCAGGAGAGTAGACGGCGGGACTTCCAACGGGACAGGACAAAGGGTTGGCAGGACCCCCGGCAGGAGAGTAGACGGCGGGACCTCCAACGGGACAGGACAAAGGGTTGGCAGGACCCCCGGCAGGAGAGTAGACGGCGGGACCTCCAACGGGACAGGACAAAGGGTTGGCAGGACCCCCGGCAGGAGAGTAGTCGGCGGGGCCTCCAACGGCACAGGACAAAGGGTTGGCAGGACCCCCGGCAGGAGAGTAGTCGGCGGGACCTCCAACGAGACAGGACAAGGAGCTGGCAGGACCCCCGGCAGGAGAGTAGACGGCGGGACCTCCAACGGGACAGACATACGATTGGTAGGACCCCCGGCAGGAGAGTAGACGGCGGGCCCTCCAACGGGACAGGACAAAGGGTTGGCAGGACCCCCGGCAGGAGAGTAGACGGCGGGACCTCCAACGGGACAGGACAAAGGGTTGGCAGGACCCCCGGCAGGAGAGTAGTCGGCGGGGCCTCCAACGGCACAGGACAAAGGGTTGGCAGGACCCCCGGCAGGAGAGTAGTCGGTGGGACCTCCAACGAGACAGGACAAGGAGCTGGCAGGACCCCCGGCAGGAGAGTAGACGGCGGGACCTCCAACGGGACAGACATACGATTGGTAGGACCCCCGGCAGAGGAGTAGTCAACGGGACCTCCAACGGGACAGGACATGGAGTTGGCAGGACCCCCAGCGGAACCTCCAACGGACCAGGACATTGGGTAGGGACTTGAGACATGACTCGAGAGGGGACTCGAGAGGAGACTCGAGAGGGGACTAGAGGAGGGACTAGAGGAGGAACTAGAGAAGGGAACTCGAGAGGGGACTCGCGAGGGGAACTAGAGAGGGGACTCGAAGAGGGACTAGAGAGGGGACTAAAGGAGGGACTAGAGGAGGGAACTGGAGAGGGAACTGGAGAAGTGACCTGAGGAGGGACTAGGGAAAGGACTAGAGAAGGGAACTCGAGAGGGGACTCGAGAGGGGAACTAGAGGGGACTCGAGGAGGGACTAGAGGAGGGAACTCGAGAGGGGACTAGAGGAGGGACTAGGGAATTGACTAGAGGAGGGACTTGAGTAGGGACTAGAGATGGGACTAGAGGAGGGACTCGGGAAGGGACCAGAGAAGGGACTAGAGATGGAACTCGAGAGGTGACTCGAGAGGAGACTCGAGAAGGAACTTGAGAGGAAACTGGAGAGGGGACTTGAGAAGGAACTTGAGACGAAACTGGAGATGGGACTGTGGCAGCTGGGGCCAGAGCTGGGGCCAGAGCTGGGTCTGGAACCATGGCTGCGGGGGCCGGAATTGAAGCCAGAATCATGGCTGTAAGGTCCGGTTCTGGAGCCGGAAACATGGCTGTAAGGTCCGGTTCTGGAGCCGGAAACATGGCTGTAAGGTCCGGTTCTGGAGCCGGAAACATGGCTGAATGGGCCGGCTCTGGAGCCGGAATTGAAGCCAGAAACATGGCTGTAAGGTCCGGTTCTGGAGCCGGAAACATGGCTGTAAGGTCCGGTTCTGGAGCCGGAAATATGGCTGTAAGGTCCGGTTCTGGAGCCGGAAACATGGCTGTAAGGTCCGGTTCTGGAGCCGGAAACATGCTCTGGAGCCGAATCCATGGCTGCCGGGACCGGTTCTGGAGCAAGGACCATGGCTGATGGGGCAAGAACTGGGTCTGTAACCATGGCTGCTGGAGGCTGAACTGGTTCTGGAACCATGGCCCTTTGGGCTCGTGCTGCCAACCTGGCCTTGCGACTCCTTCCCTTAGGAGCCGTTTGGAGGCTCCGTGGACCTCCAAAGGCCAGACGAGTACCAGCAAATGGCTTCTGGACTGTAGCAAACACTGGGTGAGAAGCAGGGGCTGACGCCAGACGGACCACACCGATGCGTGTGGTATCAAAACGGGAGTTGGGAGGCCTGGGGCTATCAGGCAGGGGATAACACACCGTGAGAAAATCCAAAATCCTGCCCGATAAGAATTTAACCAAGCCTGGCTTCTCCATAGTAATCCGGCGTGCCTCTGCCAGAACAGCCTCTCGCTGCTGAACCCTGGACGCTCCCAACCATCGATACGAGCAGTCATCCAAAGCAAAGGAAAACTCCAATAGCTCCTGCTCAAAAGGATCTGCTGGGCCCATATTTTGGTCGGGTTGTAATGTTACAGTGTGCAGGAATCAGGACCCAAATGCAGATATAACGAAAATAACTCCTTTATTTCAAGGCTACAAATATACAATATACAATAAACAGAGACAGAACGGAACACTCACCGATGAACTGGTCATTACACAAGACAACCCGACAAAGAGAGACAGAAAACCCAGAACTTAAATACACCCAGAACTAATCACATAAACACGAGACAGGTGAGGAGGGAGGAGAAAACACAGAGGCACCAGGTGAACACAATCGGGTAATCAGGGAGGGAAACAGACAGAAAGCAAACAGGCAGGAAACGGGGGTGAACACTTTACAAAATAAAACAGGAAACCCAAAGATAGAAAAAGACAAGAAAAACACCAACACAGACAGATCCTAACAATTCTAGTATGTCTCTGTCTATACAGTTTGTCAGAATCCTGCTCACATGTTGGAGCAGTTCTGTTTGCAATCGAAGCAGGTGTGAAGATGAGAGAGACTGCATCCTGCACCACTGAGAAGTGCAAGTGGCTAATGCCATCACATGTCAAAAAGGTATTCAGACCCCAGTGGTCAGTCAGCTATTCATGCCGTCCTTGCCTGTCTCATTGTTACACTGCACCTACATGTATGTTCACATACATGTTGGTCTGTCTCTTACATGTGCAGATTCCTGCTGCTCCAGTTGCGATGATAGACTTTTCATCCGCAAAATCCAAAAAGCAAAAACTGGATGATGCCATTGCTGGAAGGACAGGTGAGAAGCACACATTTCAGCGTCCCACAGTCCAGGGTTCAAAATTGGAGCGAGGATCAGAGAGGTATATGCAGTTTTTCAAGACTTTGAGCAGAAATTCCCCAAGAAGTGCTGCACTGATGTCCAGGGAACCATATTACAAAGAATTTGTCCCTAAATCTGTGAGCAAGCTACCTAAACCACTACCTCAGTATAGGACACCAGAGATGCTACAGCTATCCCCAACAGAGTTGCAGAATGCATGCCATGACTTCAGACAGGAAGAGCTGACACAGCCACAGGTCCAGGCAGTAGAGGAGGAGACCAGAAACCAGAGCTTATCACCAATATGGTTTAGCCAAAGAGCAGGAAGGATCACAGCCTCAAGACTGAAGCAGGTTCTACAGACTAGTCTTGCACAGCCATCAAAGTCCTTGATCAAGTCCATATGCTACCCAGAGGCACACAAGTTCTCTACAGCTGCAACAAGGTATTTATTAGGGATTAGGGAGCCAATCAGAATGGAGTATTCACCCAGACCATGGTATAATTAAGCAATAGCTCACGACAGGCCGTGGTATTTGTTCATTATATCACAGCTAAGGGGCGTGGTTCGGCCCGACGCGAAGTGTCTGGACCGCTGCGTAAAAAGGAGGGTTTCTGCCCCGTTACTTCTCCGCTGCTTCCTTGTTCCAGTTTGAAAAGCAAACTGCAGGCAGTTTGCTTTTCAACGCAACTGTATACAGTTTTTCTCAGACGCGGAGGGATACCGACTTGTTGTGAAAAGTAACTTACAATTCTACCCGTGGTATACGCTGATTATATCACGGCTAAGAACCAATCAGATTGCTTGATTTGACTTGTCCGTTTTATAATGTACAATGTTCTATTTATGTTCCTTGTTGTATACATTACAGGTATGGATGCAAATACGAGGCAACTGTCCGAAAGCAGTTTGAAGGAGTACAAAGTCTGCACCACCAGGGTTTCAGCTGTAAAGACAGCGGGCTTTGGCTGAACCCTCAATGGCCATACATGGGAGCGTCGCCAGACGGATGTGTCACGTGCACCTGCCATGGAACTGGTATCTGTGAGATAAAGGTAAGTTATTTGTTCAGTATTGTGCTACAGTAAAGCGGGTAAGTATAGGATTGTGACGTGATCCTGAGTCTGGGGATCCTCTCCCAATACATTTTGAGCTGCAGACACTTATTTACAGTACAATATATTGCTTTTCTTTTCATTGAACTTTTAGTGCCCACACAGCAAACAAGAGGAGGCCAATCTTCGCCTGTGTGCTGGGGGCACTGTGAAGCTGGACAGGAGACATGCCTACTACCATCAAGTACAGGCTCAGCTCCACGTCGTTGACGTTGACTACTGCGACTTTGTTGTCTGGACTAAAAATGACCTCTTTGTAGAGAGAATTGTGCGTGATGTGAACCTGTGGGACAACATCATTCCCAGAGTTGAGAGTTTCTTCAGACTATGTGTTCTCCCTGAAGTGTTGGGAAAGCAACTTACAAGGGGAAAGGTAAAAGTAATAAAGAGTTGGTGTGCTCATTTTTTTCCACAAGAACATGATAGTGCATAACTATCAGGTGACTAAAAGCCTCCTCTCCCTGTCTGCTGTTCCATTTTTCAGTTTCAGTTGCAAGATGATCAGGAGGGAGAGAAGGCGTGATTACCAGCACCTGTGGTCTGTCCTGGTCCCGGAAGTTGTGGTTCTCTCCTTGTTGCATTATTATTTGCACAGTGGCAGCTCTTTAACCTGCATTACAGCAGCTTCATATTCACTGACCACTCACTAGAGGAAGTAGGGCTGTGTGATATATTGCTATTGTAAAAAAGATGTTTACTGAAAAGATTAAATGATACTAAGAAGACTGAATAATACATGGTTTCTTATTTACATTTACAATAACCCTCAATGGCCATACATGGGAACGTCACCAGACCAATTGTTATCTCTAGAATATTGTTGAATGAATTAAGCCTGAATGTAGATGAAAGTTGTATATTGAGTAGGGCTACACAATTTACAACACACAAAAAGATGTTTACTGAAAAGACTTGAACACAAGATGTTTGAACACAAAAAGATGTTTACTGAAAAGATTAAATGATACTGAATAATACATGGTTTCTTATTTACAAGACTACAGCTCCATGACTTTACTCCAATGGGACGACAGACACTGACAGATTAGACAAGGCACAGCAAATAACCCCAATCTTGTCAATTAATGCTAGTGCCTCACCTGGTTTTGTTAGCATGTGCTCTATGGGCACAGCCCTGCTTTGCAGAATCTGATATTTTCTTCTGACTAATCCTATGACTCTTTCGACATGAATACGCACATTAGCTATTTTTCTTGTCTCTTCCACCTTGTATGCTGACAGCTGACTTTTCCCCCTGGTGAATGCAGGCATCTTTAGTGAAACACAGTAAAATCCCACACTATCGCCAATATCGAACCCACGGTCTGCTAGGACAATATCTCCAGGTAACAGGTTTTTTAGGAGCCCACTCTGTATTGTGATCTGTTTATCACTAACTCTTCCTCCCCAGGCACAAGATATGTAAGTGACATAGCCTTGGGGAGCAACACCAATCAGAAATGTAACAGTATGGTGATGCTTGTAGTTGGACCATGTTTGTGCTCTAGCTAGTAAATTAGAGGGCCTCTCAATAAAAACTTCAAAACAGTCAACAATCACAGCAACTCTACATCCAAATGCCTGTCTGAATCCCATTGGCATTGTAGCTTGAAGTACATGTCGCTCTGGCCACTCAATTATAAATTCTGTACTCTCGTGAAGTATGTCAATTAACTTATGCCAAATTCTAGAAGCAGTGGAAAGAGAGATGTTGAACCTGAAAGCCAAATCTTTCAGAGGGAGATTTAGTCTCAGCCTCAGCAAAACTAAAATGAACTGTTCAAATTTGGAGAGCACAGACATAGGGCCACAGGTGATGTAGGGCTCGCACAGTTGAAAAACCTGATGTAAAACTAAGAAGTTGGGGAGCCCGGTGTAAAACTTTGTCTTCTCTTCGTTGTTCTCAAAGGACTCCTGGTTGAACTTTGTGTCCAGTGCCTTTGTCCGAAGATCTCCCAGCTCTGTTGTGTTCTGTCTCAGAACATCCTCCATCCTCTCGATGTCCTCCATCGTTAAATCAGTCTGGCATCCTGCATCTGCATACAATATAGCAGTAGCAAGCATAATTAGTTATTTAAAATAGTCAAATATGAATGTGAATTGTTGTGAAGTTATCTTTTTGACAACCTTTTTACAGACATGCAAGTTCTCTGTTCCAATTATTGCAGATTCTCAAGTTAGTACTCTATTTTCTAAACCTAAACCTAATTCAAAGTTTGCATTGATTTTTTGACAATCACATTTGTAATATTTAATAATAATGCTGGTGGTTAATTTACCTTGTTGGTCATTTAATATCCCACTGGTGTCCTCTGGTTGTGGGCTGTCAGACGGGGGCTGCGTCGGTTCTGGGCTCTCGGTTGTCTGCAGGAGATCCAACAAAGCCTCTGCACATTCTGATTGTCTTTGTTGGTCTTCCTTGAGCTCCATCCTCTGCTCTCGTCGAAGAGATGCCTCTGATCTGGGCTTACTTGTTGTGTGGTAACCGAGGCTAACAGTGGGAGCTCAGTCTACCGACTCAACGTCACCCAAAGCGCTAGGGCACCCTAAAAAGTCCCAACAAAGTCCATATTAGACTACAGGTAACTTAAACATGATCAGTATTACTAGGTAAATAAGCATTTAACCACAACCCAATAATACATAAACAAAGCCACAAAAACCAAGATAGCTTATACCTCTGGTGAAGTGGTCGCTGCAGACACGTGCATTAGACGACTCTGCTCCTCCCGACCGCAGATGTAGGTTTGAAAGCCATTTTTTCCGGCGTTCTTCGGTTAGCTTCTTAAATTGCTCAGCTTTATGGACGACAACCTTCGGCACTCGGTAAAACCTCTTGTTTTTCTCTCGGCCGGATCGATTGGAACAACCGTAAACTACACAACACACCGGCATTTTCACAATGGTAACAGCAGCTAGATCCTCTGTAGAAAATTACTTCCTGACCTCCAATGGAATTTCGCGCCAAAGGAACGCAGCGGTGTGACGTCAAGTGAAACCAAGCTGGAGCTATTGGAGCTACAACGGGCCGTTAAAGGCAGAGAGTGAAATTCAGTGAATACAATACACGTAGTTTACAGCAGGGTTGCCAACTTTGGGTACCTGGCTGGAGTGAGATTTTGATATCATGGGTTTGATTACACATATGCGCACTAAATGACTGCTATCGTGTCAGCAGCGGGACCTTAGCATATATATAGGATACATATACAATATATACAAATACACAATATTGGACACAGACTATAAAGGGCACAAAGTTTCATTCACTAATGAAAGTCAAACACATGTTTGTTTCCACTGTTTTATTGTGTGCCTGTTGCGATAAGCAATTAATTGACTTATCGTACGATAAATAAAATGAACTCGATACATTTCCATTTACATGAGGATGTGACTAGCAGTTTGAAAGGATGTACTTGAATTACTGTTATATATTATCATTATGTCAGGGGTCTAAAATGGTCATACAACGGTGCCGACAATATTATCGTTTATCGCAATAATTTCCGGGAAAATGTACATTACATTGCATTTAGCTGACGCTTTTATCTAAAGCGACTTACAATAAGTACATTCGACCAGGAAGACACAACCTTGAAGAAAACAGAATCATATAAGTACATCAGGTTTCATAGAGCCAAACATTTCAAGTGCTACTCAACTGGCTTTAGGTAAGCCAGTCCTTTATTAGTATAAAAGTGCTTCGTTAATAGTTCTAACGCTCGAAGTGGAGTCGAAAGAGATGAGTTTTCAGTTTGCGCCGGAAGATGTGCGAGCTATCTGCCGTCCTGATGTCAATGGGGAGCTCATTCCACCATCTTGGAGCCAGGACAGCAAACCCACGTGTTTTCGCCGATGGGAACTTGGGTCCCCCTCGCAGCGAGGGCGCAACGAGTCGTTTGGCTGATGCAGAGCGTAGTGCACGCGCTGGGGTGTACGGTTTAACCATGTCCTGGATGTAGGAAGGGCCAGATCCATTCGCAGCATGGTAAGCAAGTACCAGTGTCTTGAAGTGGATTCTAGCAGTTCGAAGCCAGTGAAGGGAGCGGAGGAGCAGAGTGGTGTAGGAGAATTTAGGAAGGTTGAAGACCAGACGAGCCGCTGCATTCTGGATGAGCTGCAGAGGTCGGATGGCACATGCAGGTAGACCAGCCAGGAGGGAGTTGCAGTAGTCTAGGCGTGAGATGACGAGAGCCTGGACCAGAACCTGAGTCGCTTTCTGAGTCAGCTGGGGACGTATCTTCCTGATGTTGTAAAGCGTGTATCTGCAGCAACGGGTTGTAGCAGCGATGTTTGCAGTGAAGGACAGGTTGTTATCTAGGGTCACACCCAGATTCCTTGCAGTCTGAGTCGGGGAAACAACTGAGGTGCCGATGTTGATTGTTAGGTCAAGAGTGGGACAATCTTTTCCCGGGAGGAAGAGCAGCTCAGTCTTGTCAAGGTTGAGCTTGAGGTGGTGAGCAGACATCCACTGAGAGATGTCAGCTAGACAAGCAGAGATGCATGCAACGACCTGGGTCTCTGAGCGGGGGAAAGGACAGAATTAATTGGGTGTCATCAGCGTAGCAGTGGTAAGAAAAACCATGCGGGCTAATGACTGATCCGAGCGAGTTTGTGTACAGGGAGAAGAGGAGGGGACCAAGAACAGAGCCCTGAGGGACCCCCGTAGTTAATTGACAAGGGTCGGACTCAGACCCTCTCCAAGTCACCCTGTAGGTACGGTCTTTCAGGTATGAGGTGAGGAGGGAAAGTGCAGAGCCTGAAACTCCAAGTTTTTGGAGAGTGCGAAGGAGGATCTGATGATTCACCGTGTCGAATGCAGCAGACAGGTCCAATAGGATGATGACAGAGGAGAGGGATGCAGTTTTGGCAGTGTGCAGTTCCTCCGTGACAGCAATGAGAGCAGTTTCTGTGGAGTGACCTGCCTTGAAACCAGACTGGTGCGGATCCAGAAGGTTGTTCTGATTGAGATAACAGGAGAGTTGTTTAAAGACAGCGCGTTCAAGTGATTTAGACAGGAACGGGAGGAGAGAGACAGGCCTGTAGTTTATAACATCAGACGGGTTGAGAGTGGGTTTCTTTAGGAGAGGGTTTACTCTTGCCTCCTTGAGACTGTTTGGAAAGTGACCAGAAGTTAGAGAAGTGTTGATGAAGTGGGTGAGAAACGGTAGAATATCAGGAGCGATAGTCTGAAGGAGGTTTGAAGGGATAGGGTCCAGAGGACAGGTGGTAGGGCGGGCAGAGGTAATGAGGGTAAGAACCTCACTTGGAGAGAGAGGGGAAAAGGAGGTTAGTGTGTTGGTGGAAGGAGGGTCTGGTGACCCAGCGGTGAGTAAAGGTGAGTCAGAAAAAGAAGAGCGAATATCATCAACCTTTTTTTCAAAGTGGGTAACAAAGTCGCTTGACAGAAGTGAGGAGGGGGGAGGACAGGGCATGACATTAAGGATTTTGGGAGATGGCCCTGTGGGCCATCTAAGCTAATTTACAGATGGCCCTGAGTCCAATAGAGATGGCCCTGAAAAATGCGCGCGGACGAAATGACACACGAAAGGTTTGGGGGACCTGCAGGTCTTAGATGCTGTCTGGTGCATTCTCTAGAATTATAAGATGAA